GTAAAGCACCAGCTTGTTCACAATGGCATACGAGATTACAAATGCACAATTTGCTCCAAATCATTTGTACTAAAGGGTCATCTCACGAGGCACCAACTACTTCACAATGGCATTAAAGTGCACAAGTGCACTATTTGCACTAAAACATTTGCAGCAAAGAGTAATCTCACACAACATCAAACGGTTCACAGCGACTTTCGACCGTTTCAGTGCTCCATTTGTGAGCAAAGACTTAAATCGAAACTGATTCTCAAAAGGCATATTCAAAAAGTGCATCAACAGTAGCACTTCCACTTCCGTTTTTATTCAGCAGTCTTTCTTTCCACTCCCTGTCATTTGCTGTCATTCAAAAATTCATTAAAAATAAAAACAATTCGGTTACAAACTTATTGGACTGTTGTNACTTCCGTTTTTATTCAGCAGTCTTTCTTTCCACTCCCTGTCATTTGCTGTCATTCAAAAATTCATTAAAAATAAAAACAATTCGGTTACAAACTTATTGGACTGTTGTGCCATTGAAAACTGAGAACCCTGTCAGTCTCCCCATCCCCCAATTGCCCTATTGCATACTTTGCACTGACCAGTCTAGCTCTATTGCCCTGGGGCCCTGGGGAGCACTGTGGGCAGAGACAGAGACAGTGTGCTCGCTCATTAGTGCTTGTTTTGTTTTCATTTTAGTAGCCCTCCTCGTTTTCTGCTGAGCAGTCTTGATACCACTTAAAAGAAAATGCCTGAAACTGAAAAGCTCTCTGAAACTTATGATATGTACGACGAGTTTGACTGTGAAGAAGGTGAAAATGAGGAAGTGCAAGTGAAAGAGGAGGAAGAAGATTCAGAAACTGATTTTGATGCTGCGGAAAGTGTTGATCAGTCAGCAAGAAATGGTAAGTAAATTGATTATCTTACATTTTACCCATTTTACTTTTATTCAGAATCCCAGTCAGCTGAATCAGTGGTGAAAACTGAAGATCAGGATGAATTTCAAATTGACATGTTCGATGCTGAGTTTCGTGCGATTATGGAACTGGATTTTTCTGCTGAAACAAATGCAAATGGAACAAGCCAAGCAGTGAGGGTAAACGAAAAACACGAAACTGATTCGGATGCCACTGAAATTGATGATGATGATCATTCAGCAGTCAATGGTGAGTGGACAGTGTTTGTTTGGTTCTTTTTATTTACACTTTTCATTTGGCAGAATCTCAGCAAACTGAACCAGTAGTCAACCGTAGCTCGAGCAGTGCATCAGGTGAACAACAGCTGAATGGTCGTCAAAGAAGAGCTAAAATCCACAAGTGTCAGCAGTGCGGCAAAAGCTTTCCATCTGCATATAAACTCAAACGACACCAAGTAGTGCACACTGGCATACGGGCTTACAGGTGCACAACATGCTCCAAGTCATTTGGGCTAAAGGGTCATCTCAAACAACACCAGCTTGTTCACACTGGAATTCGAGTTCACAAATGCGCAACGTGCTCCAAATCATTTGGGCTAAAGGGGGATCTCGTAAAGCACCAGCTTGTTCACACTGGCATTAAAACACACCAGTGCACTATTTGCTCTAAAACATTTGCACTTAAGTCTAATCTCACAAAACATCAAGCGGCTCACAGCGACTCTCGACCATTTCAGTGCTCCGTTTGTGATAAAACATTTAAACTGAAAGAGAAACTCAAAAGGCATCTTCAAAAAGTGCATCAACAGTAGCACTTTCACTTCTGTCTTTATTAATCAGTCTTTCTTTCCACTCCCTGTCATTTGCTGTCATTCAATAGTTCATTAAAAATAAAAACAATTCGGTTACAAACTTCTTGATCTATTGTGCCATTGAAAACTGAGAACCCTGTCAGTCTCCTCATCTTCTAATTGCCCATCGCATACTTTGCACTGACCAATCTAGCTCTATTGCCCTGGGGACCTGGGGAGCACTGTGGGCAGAGATAGAGACAGTGAGAGAGTGTGCTCGCTCAGCAGTGCTTGTTTTGTTTTCATTTTAGTAGCCCTCCTCGTCTTCTGCTAAGCCAGTCTTGATACCACCTAAAAGAAAATGCCTAAAACTAAAAATCTGTCTGAAATTTATGATATGTACGACGAGTTTGACTGTGAAGAAAGTAAAAATGAGGAAGTGCAAGTGAAAGAAGAGGAAAAAGATTCAGAAACTGATTTTGGTGCTGCGGAAAGTGTTGATCAGTCAGCAGGCAATGGTTAGTAAACTGATTTATTTTACACTTTTCGTTCTTTACTTATTTTACTTTTATTTAGAAGCGCAGTCAACTGAACCAGTGGTGAAAACTGAAGATCAAAATGAGACAACGATTGATATGTTCGATGATGAGTTTCATTTGATTATGGAACAGAATTTTTCTGCTGAAACAAATGCCAATGGAACAAACGATGCAGTCAACGAAGAACAAGAGACTGATTCAGATGCCACTGAAATTGATGATGATAATCATTCAGCAGTCAGTGGTGAGTGGACAGTGTTTGTTTGGTTCTTTTTATTCACGCATTTCATTTTGCAGAATCTCAGCAAGCAGAACCAGTGGTCAACCGTAGCTCGAGCAGTGAATCAGGTGAACAACAACTGAATGGTCGTCGAAAAAAAACTAAAATCCACAAGTGTCAGCAGTGCGGCAAAAGCTTTTTATCTGCAGCTGATCTCAAACGACACCAACTGGTGCACACTGGAATACGAGATTACAGGTGCACTACATGCTCCAAATCATTTGGGCTAAAGGGTAATCTCGAAACACACCAGCTGGTGCACACTGGCATTAAAGCGCACAAGTGCACTACATGCTCCAAGTCATTTGCTCTAAAGGTTAATCTCGTAAAACATCAGCTTGTTCACACTGGCATTAAAACACACCAGTGCACTATTTGCTCTAAAACATTTGCACTAAAGTCTAATCTCACAAAACATCAAACGGTTCACAGCGACTCTCGATTATTTCAGTGCTCTATTTGTGAGCAAACATTCAAATGGAAACTGCAACTTAAAAAGCATCTTCAAAAAATGCATCAGCAGTAGCACTTTCATTGCCATTTTTATTCATCAGTTTTTCTTTCCATTCCCTGTCATTTGCTGTCATTCAAAAGTTCATTAAAAATAAAAACAAAAAGCAGTGCTCCATTTGTGAAAAAACGTTCAAATTGAATTGTGATCTCAAAACTCATCGTCAAAGAGTGCATCAGTAGTAGCACTCCCATTGCCGTCTTTATTCAGCTGTCTCTTTATCTATTTCCCTCTTTCATTTGCTCTCACCCACCTGTAAATAAATAACTTAAAACTAACAACTTTGCTATCATCTTAATCATTTTTTGGAACTGCCATTGACCATGACATTGGCCTGTTCAGCGAGGATTCCGGTTTTAAGGGTGCAAGAACAAGAACTCAGAATCCTTTCGGACAGAAGTCCTATGGTTCGGGGGTGTTCAAAAAAATCTTTGTAGGAGTAGCACTTGGAAAAAATTCAAAATGAGTGAGTTTATACATTATATTTTCTTCAACAAAATTGAAACCGGAAGTAAAAAGTTTTAAAAAAGAAGTTTTACTTCCGGACTAATTAAAATTTTTTAACTGCTAGAAATAAACTTTTTGCATGTGTAAACTATTTACTAGATGTCTAACTTAAATGGAAACATTTTTTAGCACTTTAGAGACAATGTTAAAATTAATATAATTAAATTTTTTGTCAGTTTTAATTAAGTATTTTTTAATTGCTAAATTTTTAAAATTTAGCAAATCAATTTTTATTGAATAGAGGCATTTTTTAAATTAATTTTACCAGTTACACTTTGCTCAAAACTATTCAAATTTTTTTTGTACAATTTTTGTAAAAATAAACTTCTTTTGACCGGAACCGAAAACTTTGAGGCAAGAAAAAATAGCCATTTTACTTAGCTAAGTATTACCTTTCCAACGATACTAAAATTGGCAATATGTTCAGCAAAAAAATAAAAAAAATAAAAAAAAATAAAAAAAAATTGAAAAAAATGATTTTTAATTCCAAGATAAACTAAAAAGAATCCTGATGACCTGGGGCACCAGGAAATGACCCAAAAAAACTAAAAACAACGGGGACATCGGCGAATTGAACGCCGGACCACTCGCACTTTAAGAAGACTCCCTAAGCGAGTATCATACCACTAGACCAATGTCCCGGCACCGCTGAGGGAAATGGCGCAAGCGCACCTTTAGTGCAAACGCTGATCAGCAGCAATTGAACAGTGCAGTCGGCCAGTACTCCGGCAGATGGCCTCCGTATAGCCAAAAAGAGAATTCCTTTTTAAATTACTAATTTAGAAAATTTTTTGTTTGGGAACAGGTGGCCAACTATGGGTCTCAAAGTAGCAATTTCTTGTCACGCCAGTTTTTATGCAAAATTATTTTTTGTTAAACAAGTGTAATACACCGTTAAAAAGCTTGAGTTTTCTAGATTAATAATATTCTGCAAACAATATTTAAATATTTTAAAAACCAAAAATGTAGTGATTTGTTTTCGAAACGGTAAAAAAGTTTAATTTTTAAAAGAGGCGGGCTACTAAAAGTGGGACATCAATACCAAAAAATATAATTATTGTTTGTTTTTAAAAATTATATGTTTTTGTAGTTTTAATGCATACAGGAAAAAATAAATCAGATTTTTCTGATGAAAAACACCAAAGTTACAAATTTTCAAAAAATTTGTTTAAAATCAAGTAAAATGTCAAAAACGGAAAATTTTCAAAAAATCATAACTTGAAATGTACTTTATTGATTTTTATTTTTTAAACTAATTCCTCTTAATTTCGCACCCTTTAGACCACTGATCCTTTACCACACTACAGCTCAATGCGTCCGATAAAAGTTTTCCTTGCTTTCCTTCCAGTGCTTCTCCCGGCCAATAGACGGCGCCTAAAATCGTTTTTTAGAGCCATGTGTTTTCGAAAAAAATGATGAAGAAGACAAACACAAACGTTGCGCAGGAAGACAGGCCACGGTGGTGAAGAGGGAACTCGTCATCATCAGTTTTACCTCGTCTTTTGTTATTCATTCACCCTCATCACTAATCACCACCACCAGTACTACCACCACCACCTCGACACAATGTCACGGACGACGGCGCCCAACTGCAATCGCAGCTTCATCATCGAGGCGCTGCTGGGAAACAAGGTAAGCAAATGAAGAGGAGGAGTTCTTTAATTCGGGTTCTAAATGGGTTCTTCTTCTTCTCTTCCCAGCGCATGGACGGCCGCTCGCTGCACCAGTTCCGCGACCTGCAGGTCAACTTCGGGCGCACCTTCGGCTCGGTGTACCTGCAGCTGGGGCAGACGGTGGTGCTGGCCAGCACGGCGGCCGTCATCGACGAGCCTCGGCTGACGCGGCCCGCCGAGGGCCGCTTCAAGGTGACGATGAACATCGGCGCCGGGGGCAAGGACCGCTGGCTGAAGTCGCTGGAGCGGTCGCAGCCGACGGAGGCGGTGCTGGCGATGCGCCTTCTCGAGAAGATCATCAACCGCATCAACGTCCTCGACCTGGAGTCGCTCTGTCTGGTGGTAGGGAAGGTGGTATGGGCCATCGAGACGAGCATCGTCCTGCTGAACTACGACGGGAACCTGGTGGAGGCGGCCTCCATAGCCACTATAGCCTCGCTGATGCACTTTCGCCGGCCGGACGCCACCGTCACCCCCGACGGCGACATTATCGTGCACAGCCTCGAGGAGCGCTCGCCGATTCCGCTCACCCTCTTTCACCTCCCCCTCTGCGTCACCTTTCAGTTCATGGACAGCGGCCTGCTGCGAAAGCTGCTGGCGGAGAACTACCAGGAAGGCTGGCCGGAAGAGCTGGTTGCCGGCCGACTGCGCAAGGTGGCCACCGGCCGCCTGATGATCACCGATCCGACGGAGGAGGAGGAGGAGCACCTGCGCAACGTTCTGGTCGTCTGCGCCAACACCTACGGCGAGATAGTGGCCATCCAGTCGCTGGGCCGCATCTCGCTGAGCAGCAGCGGGCAACTGCTCAAAGAGTGCACGAGGATGGCCTTTGAGCGCGTCCGCTTCGTCACCGACTACCTCAAGGCGGAGATTGCCAAGCAGGAGAAGGAGAAGGAGCAGAACAACTCCCCGTCCTCATTCGAGGGTGGCTTCTTCGAGGCGCTCCGGCAGCCCGGCTGCCTCGAGCTGTGCATTGCCCGCGACTACCGGCGCAGTGCCATCTTCGGCAGCGGCCGCTACAACGGCTTCACCATGCCCGCCGCCGATGAGGACCTGTCGGTGAAAGTTGGTGGGGATAAAAATTCCGCCTCAAAGGCCACCGAGGAGGACCTGTCGCTCTTTCTGCGCAGTCACCGCCAGGCGAACAAGATTGGCGAGGGCGGCCTGTCCAAGTGGGGCCTGGAGCCGGCGCTGGACTTTCATGATGGCCAAAATGATGATGAGGGTGATGAGGAGGGTGATGAAGAGGCCGAGGATGGAGAGCTTGAGGATGAGGAGGAGCAGCCAAACACAAACTCC